TATTTTTTATTTAAAGCATAACTCAATGAAAACTTTTTGACATGTAAATTCAGAAACTTAGTATTAGTATTAGCAATCTCTGTCCATATTCTAGTTTCACTCGAAAAACTTTTCTTTACATTCTAGTCATAAAAATGAATGGAATCTCTGTCCCTCGATCAAATTTAAAGCTTCGAATAACCTTTTTTTTATCCAAATTCAAATACACCAGATTTTTTTACATTATATTGACCGAAAAAATTTGAATGTCTCTAAATCTAACCCACTCGGCGTTAATAAGCCATATGGTTTATCATGAAATACCAAAATACAAATAATACAATGATGACAATGAAGGTAAATGATGAATTCATCTGAATAATGCATGTAATATTTTTGATGACAGCAATTAATAGTTATTAGAAATAAATAAAGAATTTGTATTTGCTATATAATTGACTAGCCAATTCGTGATGTGAAAGTGTACAGCCATGAGTTATATATAATAAGTTGGACACATTCCGAGATATGCTTTATGCTTATTATCACAAAGACCAATGTATGAAAAAAAATTTATTGATTTTGATTGGCATGACCCTGTTGTAATGTGAATTTATGTTAGTGTGTGAATTTGAAATTAGCCAATTAAAAAGCCTAATATATTATTACACAATTTTATGATTTGTTCCATTTCAACATAAATGTAATTCTCATAAAAAAAGAAGATACGCAGTGATGTGCATCGGAAGCTCCCCAACGACCTTTCATTGGGATTAGAAGTTCCAGTGGAAGGTTTGGAAGCCTTTCCAATTGTTTATTGGACTTTGAACATTACAGCCAATAAAATTCAAGAATTAAATTTTTTAATTACGACTATTTTTCAAAATGGGGAATTTTTATTATTGTATAATAATTAGCTATTGCCGATTGCAGAAAAGTCTTTTATCCCCACGGATTTTACCAAATTAGTTTTTTTGGGAAGCATGAAATGTAAAAAAAAACAGCGTGCAACATTGAATTGACATGGGTAATTAATTAAATTGGGGAAATAAAAAAATAATTATTTATTTCTCAAAACCACCACCTGACAAAGATATATTAAAGTATTACGAAATAAATGCAATACATACAAAGAACCGCATAAACATTACAAACAAAAAAAGCCACAAGTTAAGAATCATTTAAAAAGTCGCGTTCTTCCAATGCAGTTATTGGTCCTCAATTTATCCCGTAACTAATTGTGATTGGACAACAGTATCAATGACATAAAAGCTTCCAAAGACACGTCACTGCGTATACATACTTGCCCAAGATATAAAATTTATTTTTTTCAATAGGAAAATAGGGATTAACCACTGTAGATCATGGTAAAATGTTGCGTATATTCTACCCTTAAATAGCAATAGTATTATTATTATTTATTTGACGCCATGAACTATTTATAGAGTTGAACCATTAAGGTTTAAATCAACAGTGTATGGTGTTGACTTTTATATCAGCATTAAAATTAAGATCGATGAAGATGTTATGGACAAGTTACTTTTGTATGAAGAAATTGTTGTAATAGTTGAAGTGGCGAAGATGATAAATATTGTTTGCATTATGCTTTAGATACGAATTGATAATAACGGATGCCGTTGATGAATTTGATCTTAACTCGCAACAATTCTAATGCTTTTTTAAAATCTAATCTAATATTGCTCAAATTTTATTAATTCACACGCGAGAACTAAAGTCATATTTTTTTATTTTAATGTGATACTATATAGCCACGTATTTAAAATCGTGATAACAAATAAAAATAATACAATAATAATATATAGAAATAATTTTTCATTTTAATTCAAACCAACGCAATCCAATCAACCTTCCTGAACACCGATAAACATCGCAAGCATATCGCTCATGCTAACAACACCTATAGGTTTTTTTGACTCTTTCTCAACTACCCAAACATGATGAACTCCATTATCAATTGAAACTCTCATGATTTCTTGTAAGTTTGTATCTTCATGACAAAAAATAATGTTTTTCGGGTGCGTACGAATCTTTCCAAGAAATGCTGTAATTGGTAACAAGCACTCAGCGATATTGTCGACGTTTAGGTAGCGAATATCCGAAGATGATAAATTATCGACTAATTCAACGATTCTTTCACCGGCCTCGTCATCACCACCATCTACAATTGCGACTGAACTTAAGTTATGAATTGCCTTCATAAAAATAAACATTGAAAGTTATGAGAAAAATAAATTATAATTACAACCACATGAGAATAATTATTAATATTACCAGAACTTTAAATCCTGCTAAAGCTGTCATGTCTTTAGTGATGGAAAATGCAAATGTGGACTTGACTGGAGATACTGGTAATCTTATGAATCAAAGAAAGCAAGAAATTAATTATAAACAAAACATAAAAAATAATTACAATCAAATAATAATAAGTAATTAATTATTGATAATTACCTACGAGAAGGTTGATTCGGATCATCTTTTTTGGTAAAGGTGATCCAAGATCGTTGCATAACTTTATTAGCTGGCTCTTCAGCAAGCTCTTGCACTGATGGTCTGACAAAAATAGAGGTTCCGCGAAAAGTACGAATCATTATTCTTTACGCGTTTATGTGTGTGTGTGTGTGTGTGTGTGTGTGTGTAATTAATTCCAGTTGTATATTTTTTTAGAAAAAGCAGTTGAAAAGAGAACCTTATCTTTTCCAAAAAAGCAAGGCTTCTGTTGAAGTTCAAGTGAAAGGAGGTGATGATCATTACCATTGCTATTATTATTACTATTAATACTTTGATAAGCTCCGTATTCATTTATTATTAATTATTTCTTTTTTGTATAGTGCGAGATCTTATATTCTCTGAAGTTGACTTTTTAAAATCACTTCCAGGAAATAAACATAATAAATACAATAAACACAAGAAAAGAAATATTAAAGATCGCAAGACCATTAGCATCTCATCATCGCCATCAACAACTAATTCTCACCAAAAACAACAACACCAACAACGTTTAAAAATGGTTTCTGTAATTCACAACACAAAAAAACTTAAACGTTTTTTTGAAGAAACCAAAACCAAAAACGACATCACGAATAACACTATTGATGATGAAAAAGCTCCACCAAAAAAATTAAGAAAATTAAAATCTGATAAAATTTTGAATAATAATGATGATGATGATAATGCTTCTTATTCTAATTCTAATACTATAGATGGTGTTGGCGTTGGTGTTGATAAAAAAAATTACAATAAAAAGTCAAAACACACCACTAACAAAAAAGCTTTTGCTGGAATATCTACTAGTAAAAAGGGCCTCAGAACACCTAGATTCAGTAAACATTTTAAACAATCACATTCTGAATATTCTGAACACTTGGAAGAGGGAGAAAAGAAAGATGTGAAAGATATGGAGAAGTTGGAAATTTCTGCTTTATATGAGTCAGCGTTTAGTGAAAATAAAAAATCAGCAACAACCTCACAAAGATCCTGTTATGAAATAATTGTTGTTAACGATTCAGCGTCAATTTCTTCTTCGTCATCAAGGCTTACTGTTGACACCGGTGAAAAATCTTATAGCACCCCTCCAAGTCCTCCCATACAAGATCAACTAAACACCACCAATCACAATAGTCAAATCTTTTCTAAAATATTTAGACAAAATAAATTTTACACAGAACAAACCAATAGTGATACCAATAACAATTTTAATGCTAATAACACTAGTAATAATAATGACGATGGTATTAGTGATAATTATAGTATCAACAATTATAATAATAACAATAATAATGATAGTTATTCTTACACGCGTCCAACAAACAACAATTCTAATCCATCTTTAAATAGCTATGAAAAAAGACATCTACTATCGGACGACCCCTCAACGATCAACAACAATATCTTCACCTATAGCCCAAACATTCTAGGCTCAAATAACTTTGCAATGAATGTTGATTCAATGATTGATAATAATTTAGATATAATAATACTCGGTTCTAATAGTCACTCACCATACATTAATCAGCACGATGCCTTACATAATAACACTAGATTACCACCACCTCCACAACCACGATCAATGAACGTTAATGTATACAATTCAACAAATAATAGCTATCCTTCTGTTTTTAATTACGGCAACCATCAATCCTTTGAACCTGATCATACGTTCAATTATCAAATTTATGGTAATCCACAATCTACCCAACATCCAATTACTCAACATTCTAATACATGGCCACGACCAGAAATGAGGATGATTAGCACATCATCCAATCCTTCTCAACAATTTAATAACATTTATACATCGTCACCGCCTTTTTCTTCATATTCATTACCACCTGCTAGATTGAACGATAACTGTAATCATCATCATAATCATCAACATAATTGTCAACAACATTCACGGGATGTTTTTAATCAATCTGCCGAAGTTTTAATAATTGATTTAACTTCTGATAATGAATACACTGATGATGGTGGAGGCGGAGGTAACAATGGTGGTTTTGTCAAGTATCTTAATAATAATAATAACAACAACAATAACAAAAATGATACAAATTCCTTAGTCGATGTTACATCAGAATTTAAATGGAAAAAACATCGATTATACTGACTTTACTTTATTTTTATTTTTCTAAAGCTGTTATTATTTTTTGACTGATTTTGTTGGACTGATATTTTTTTTTAAAAAAAAAAATTATTATTTAGCGCATATATATATATCTAATGGTGGATTCATTTACTATTTTTTATGTCTTTAATAAGGTATATATATATATATATAAAGATGTATTATATTATATCATTCAAATTGTTGCTGCTTTATAATAAATAATAAATGATAGAAAACCAATCCATACTTTTCCCAAGTGTCATTATTGCATCCCAAATTAGAATCCGCTCCGATATGTATTTATATGAACTTCTCTTTTAATGTTTATATATATATAATTTTATTATTATAGAAAAGTTTTTTCTTTTAAATCATAACATCGTTCAAAATAAAAATAATACAAGATAAATACAATCTCAATACAATCCCACAATATAAATATTATACATAAACAAAATGTATATACTATCTATAATTAAATAAGAAAGAAACAAACCATCAACTAATTTTTAATTACTGTGGAAAAAATTGAGGTTGTGGGAATTCGATGTTGGGACTAGGCGTTGCTTGAGGATTTGCTGGAACCGGAGAAACTTGAGGTTGTTGAAATGATGGTTGAGTTTGTGGGTACGGTCCTTGAGTTTGTGGATATGGTCCTTGAGTTTGTGGGTACGGTCCTTGAGTTTGTGGATATGGTCCTTGAGTTTGTGGATATGGTCCTTGAGTTTGTGGATATGGTGCTTGAGGCTGTTGAAATTGTGTTTGAGGTTGTTGAATTGGTACTTGAGGCTGCTGAAATTGTGTTTGAGGTTGTTGAATTGGTGCTTGAGGCTGTTGAAATTGTGCTTGAGGCTGTTGAAATTGTGCTTGGGGTTGTTGAATTGGTGTTTGAGGTTGTTGAATTGGTGTTTGAGGTTGTTGAATTGGTGTTTGAGGCTGTTGAAATTGTGTTTGAGGTTGTTGAGTTGGCAAATGAGATTGAGATGAACTAGCAGCAAAAGTATGAATATTTTGCATTTGAACATTTTCTCCTTGTGGTGGATTATTAGTACCAGCAACATCAGTGTCCAAAGATGATTTTGAGGAATTCACGTTTGCTTCATCTGTATGGGGATCATGCTTTGGTAATGGTTGACGTCTATTATCATACCATTCCTTACCGATCAAAGCCAACGAACCTAGCCAACCCGCCAAAGCAAACCAACCGAAGGCATTTCCGGCTCGTGCAGTTCTACAATTTCCGGCCAATCCATTGGTAAAAAGACTTCCTGTTTTGTTTTTAGCTCTTTCAAAGGCAGCCGTATCCGAGCTCGAATCACAATTTCTCAAACCCAATTCTATACTCAGTGCGATCGTTACCAAAAATACAAGCACAGACCACATTGCCGTAAGCACGAACTCTATTCTAATGACCCTTAAAGCTCTTGCCAAACTTTGAAATTTACCATATTGTAAATAAGTATAAGGAATACCGACTATTGCAGCTGACATAATAACTGAAAGGGCCACAAAGAAAATAAAAATATTATCTATTATAGTACTGGATGTTGTCTTGTTATCAAATGAAATAACTGCTGCGAGACATGCTATTGCAATAAAAGCACAAAATATTTGAGCTCCTCTTAATCCCCATTGTAATTTTGTAATTGAAATTTCCAATCTATCTACAGCCATAATCGATATTCTATTATATTATTATTATTATTATTATTATTATTATTATTATTATTATTATTATTATTATTATTATTATATTATATGATTATATGATTATATTTATTATTATTATTATATTTAGAAATCGTTCGTTTATTAAAAAAATTAAATTATCTTGTGTTTTTTTTAATTTTAAAAAAAAAAATTTTTTTTTTTGCAGAGTTGTCACCGCAACACTGTGGCGACCAAGTGGAATAAAAAAGGTATTTATATATGAAATTTTTTTTTGAATTGTGTAATTATCAAAAAAAAAAAACAATAATAGTGTGTGAATGGGATTATATAAAATGTGCAAATCTTTATATATAAAATAGAATTTCAAAATAAGGGTTAAAGTTTTTTTTCAAAGAAAAAAATTACGCCAAAAAAGAAATCTACACAAGAGAAAAAAATCTAAATTAGCAATAAAATAAAAGGTTTAGTTAGTTTGAAGGTAAAAAAACTTTATTTGGTGTTCTGAGAAAAAACTATTAAAAGTACCGATCTCTTGGTTGATAAATATATTAATACCCTCCTTCCTAAATTTCAGGGTTAATAAGATTCGTATCCCATGCATTTTTGAATTCAGACTTGTCATATTAAGAATAGGAATATTACTATATAATAAAATTATTCATTGTTAAATTACCAGAAGTTGGGATTAGCAACAACAATAATATATTTATATCTGTAAGAATTTCTTTTTTCATTAAGATAATAAAAAAGGTTATTACTTCAAATTTTCCTTGTGCATTGAAACTATCATATAGATAAATTAATTCCTAATCTGTATAATCAATGGAGGCAAGAAAATTTTAAGGAGGATATAGGACTGACTCTATCCGAGATAATCAGGCACTGCGTATTAGAAAAGTGGACTAGTATTGTATTCCAAGTTCCGTTGGAGTTTCCGAAGATGCAGACTGTTCCGTTGTGATTTAGATTTTGTTAGGCACTAATCCAATAATAGAACCACCAAGGTAAAATAACATTTTATTGCAAAATATTAATATGATTTAGATTTGGCAGTGTCATTGACCCAGATCATCCGATATTTGGATAAGTTCGTGCGTGGCAGTGAAATTTTATTGTGGAACACAAACGTGTTCACAGCCACCGGATCAATTAAATTTAGCTCTCCAGTAGTAAGTATATATATATATATATATATGTACAATTGTTATCTTTTATAAACATTCATAAAAGATAATAATATGTATATGTAAAAAAAAAAAATTAAAGCAAGAATATTTATGAGCTTTATGCTAAATCACATTTGGTAATTTAATATATACATTTATTTCTAATTAACTTTTTTGATCAAGTTTAGATCATCAATCATTAACATTTTTTTATTTTTTAAGACGTTCTAATGCTGACTTGATTTCATCTAATTCTTTTGTGGTGGAATCTAATTTAGACCTATGAGTTTGGATTTGTTCTTGAACCTTTTTATATGCATCTTCAATTTTACTTATTTCTTCTTGTTCTGCTTGAAGACCTATATATACATACATATATGCAAATGTATAAATAAAAATCAAAGAATATATTTATATAAAGTGATATAAATTAACCAACTATATAAAGAATTAGGTGTGGATTTTGCTGGAAGACTAGAATATGGATGAGATGTTAATATTTGATACATTGCTTCCGTTGGATCAGTAAAAACCTACATCATATATGATTATACATTATTTACAAAATATTATACATACTATTATAAACAAAGATCAATAAAAATTCCATTTATTTACCAATTCGTCATATAAAAAACTTTGTACAGGTTTATTTTTATTAGCAGTTGATATTGATCCATCTTCTTCATAAGGATGAAGTCGTAAATTATGATACAATGTTACATGTTTTTCACCGCTTTCTGGCACAAATTGTAATTTTATCGATAATTCAAATTCACCCCATCCAGTTTCCGTAATTTCAAAAGGAGGATTCTCAACAACTATAAAGTGAAAATCAATATAAATATAAATCCTTTTATTTTTTTAATTATTTATATATAATTAATAAGCCATCTACCTCTTGATGAGTTAGGATAAGTTTCATGAAGTTTAAAAGTGACACGTTTAACAAAGTAACTAATGTCTTCACCATTTATTCCACTTACAGAAACTGTCCATTTATGAGTATGATCAGATTCTGGTGCTTTTTTTTGTGGTAATAGAGTTGCGACATTACCATACACTATTGGTCGTACTATTGTTATTCCCTATGTATTGTTATTTGTTTATATATGATCCAAGTAAATAATATATATAATAATAATAAAAAAGTAGCTTTTAAATAAATATGTACATGTATACAAATATGTATATAAAAAAAGGGTTAAATAGTTTTTAAAGTAGTAAATTTGAAAAATTAAAAATTTAGTTATGAAACAATTACCTTTGTTCTTTTTGTTGACGACATTATTAATACGCTTTAAAGGATTGTTGATAAAAAAAATGACAAATTTGGTTCGAATTTCCGGGGCCCTGTAAAAAAAATTTTCTTTTCACAACCTCTGTATTAAAAATATTAAAATTTCTTGTAGATAAAATGAAAGTGGTAACAAAAACAAATAATTTAAATAAATAAATATATATACATAAGAATTTTAAGCTAATATATTTTTTTATTTTATCATTATTATTGTAAAAAATTTTTTTTCTTTTATAGGAAAATCAGAATCATAATCACAGTTTAAAAAATAGACATGACAATGAAATCAAAGAATTATTTTACGGTGAATTATCAGATCTAGACGGTGAATGTGAAGAATGTAGAATACTTGAAAGTGATTTGATCAATTCGAAATTTAGTATTAAACAATTATTTAATTATGAAAAACTTGACGAAAATACTCTTAAAATATTTTGGTTAAAACTAAAAGAGTATAAATTCCATAAAACGATGGCAATCATATTGAAATTTAACAAAATTAAACATCTTAAAGATGATGACATTCCAGTCAAAGTAAAAAGGTTATTATTAAAAAATTTGAAACTCATAAAGTTTTAATATAGAGATATTTCTTTACCTTTAAGATTGTTGAGAACTTTTAAAGTTTATTTTCCTAATAACTAGTGGTTGACTTTTAATAATTTAATTTTATTGAATTCAACCTAACTAGGTGAATATTTCAACGGTTGTTTTATTATAATATGACTGATATTCGTCAAGCTATTAAAAATTAGTCATTTTTTAAAAGAATTAAAGCAGTACTTAGTAAAATTAATTATCTAAAAAATTACATTCAAATTTGAATGAAAATTTGCTATATTCTAATCTTTTGGAAATATAATCTTTTACTTTTAAATTTTTTAAAAATAAAGTTTTTTAAAAAAAATGCCCTGTCATTACTTTTTTTGGGGGACTGTATAACAAAAAAAATAAATAATAATATTTACAAGTGAGAGTTTATCTTCCATCATAGATAGCTTTCTCACATTTTTCTTTCCCTCCATCTCTTGTCAATAATAATGATGTTGTGATCAAAGAGGATGAACAAGAAGGTATAACATTAATACATGGTCAT